CTCCAGGGCTGTGGAGTGTGCCCCTGGCATTTCTGTAGGGACTGTCACAAAAGTCTTGGAAACTTGAGGAACGTACAGTGTGCTTCACAGACTCACAAAATGTATTATAACTCTGAGGTTTGCAATTTGAAACTACAGAGTTTTCGTAGGTTGCTTTCTAGTAGTAAAGAGGTTGTACCTCCATTTTCTAAAGTGATATTAATAAGAAATGGACATTGCTGAACTAAATTATATGAAGGAACAAACAATTATAATTTAAACAACCTTCTGCACAGGTTGTGCAGCTAATTTTAAGCCAGGCCTGTACTGGGCAGAACTGTTAACAAATTTGTCCAATTAATAACTGTTGGTATCAGAAAATGAGGCAATTTGTTTACTGGTTTAAAAAATAATATTTTGACCAAGTCAAATAGAACTTTTGCTAAATTTCAGACTATATTAAAAAGCCTAAAAATTATACATTGAAATTTGAATTTGTTAAGAGAAAATAATTGCTGTTTTATCACGGCAGACAGGATTCACAAAGATGTATTCCATAATAATTCAAGCCTTTTAAAATTCTTTTCTTAGGAAACAGCAGTAAGCAGATGAGCTGCTCTTCTGCATGAGTATCTTTTGATTTAAAACTGGTATGACACTCTTTAGAATAATTGAAAGAATTACATACAATTAGTGAAGTAGCTGTGCCTAAGGGGCAGATACTGGCTCTTCACTTGCTGGGCAACACTACCTAAAGCTCCAACTTCTGTTATTTTTTTTTAAAACTGAGTAGAATATTCTCTATATGGTGACAAATTAAATATTTTTAAAAAGTAATCTAGCACAAGAAGTGCACCTTTCAATACACCCAAGGGCTAGGGGGAACCAAAGTTGAAAGAGAGTTTGGAATTCTGCTGTCCAGAGACACACAACTGCAGGAAAAGAACAGATGGTCTATGGACAGTGAGGATTCTAAGGAATATAAATTTTGGCATGACATACAAGGCCTGCATGTTGGAATGGTAAGCAGTACACAGAAAGTTAATTAATTATTGTCACCAGAGAAATAACACATGGACAGGCACAGAATGTCCCAGGTTAGCCACAAGCAGGCAAATTCATTTCCAACAACAGATACAGATTTTTGACACATGTCTCTGATAATGTTTAAAACTGCAGTTTCCATTGGGTTATGTAGCTCTACACCTTTCACCGGTGCAGCTGCTCATACGTTGCCTTCATTTGCAATTAGCAAGCAGCTATTTTACAGAAATCAATGCAGCCTAATAAATCCAATGCAAATTTAATTCTGCTTGTAAGATACACACCACACATGAAATCCATATACTGACTACAGCAGGCGGCTTAGGCACATGACCCGCATTGAGTTAACGTTGGGTTAATGTAACCTGGCCAAGTTAACTTTTCTCCATCTCTCTTTCTTTCTTTGTTAAACAGATACTGATAAGAACTAGTCATAGCCTGTTATGAGGATTTCACCAGTTAACTGTCATGACATATCTGACGTGCCATAGCTACTATGTAAATGTTAACTATATGAACCATAAGACATTAAACCATCTGTGTTTCTGTTCTGGAATTAAAATGATGTCAAAATCTCTTGGAATCAGGAAAAGTGGATTGTGTACGGAAACAACTTCTCCCATTATTTTAAGAGTTCTCATCCCCTCCTCTCTTACCATTTCTCCCTGGGTGAGCCACATTAGCTTTTAGTTGTTTTCTAGCTTAAAAAAAAATTATCTGGTTGGAGACAATGTTTTTAATGATTCCCCTTTTTAACACTATTTCAAAAGAACATTCTTTTGTTTGAACTTTCTGAAATTAAGGTGGATTGGAAGCATAGGCCCCAGGGAGTCTCTCAGCCATTCATGCTTCTGCCCTTGCTTAGGACATAAATTTAATAGTTGCTGACCAAATATTGAATTTCTTACAAAGAAATCAATCATATGGATTACTGTTTCCACGTCATGGAAGGTAATCCTTAAACCCAATTAATATAAATGTCTACACCTAACTTAATGTCCATAAACCTTCCCAAGTGCAATTATAACTATTGGTTCTTTAAGAGAGTAAACACTGAAATGGAAGATTAAATATCCAAGCACAGGGAAAAAAGAGGGGCCCAAATGTTTTACTAAGTTTGCTAAAGCAGTGTTCAAAAGTAGATTTAGAAGATATCATGAAAATTCCAGACAAAAAAGTGACAGGTTCAGTCCTTCAATCAGTAAACAAAAGGTTGGTGATGTGTTGGACTTGCTATGGGCTGCCTGAGGCAAGTTCTTTGGGCAACAAGCAAGTATTATAGGTAACAGTGAAAGTACAGCATTTCCCAAAGCAATCACACTCACTTATTTTCTAGTTCCATCTGTGGCACAATTTCTACCTGTCAGGGACTTTGAATTACAAGTGGGAAAGGTCACACGTGCTTAGGAACTCATGATTCTGCTAATTTTCTACATAATAATCCCGCATCCTAACTTCCTGGATCACTTAAGATAGAAATGTTTCTAAGGAAAATGTACATTTTTATTTAGAAAACCATTCCAAATGCCTCCCTCTTTGAAATTCGGACGGCGAACTTGAAATATTTGGTAGTAGATGTCACAGAGAAACAGTAATGATTTGCTAGTTTGATTATGACAAGTGGCAGGGCAGGTTCTTTTAAAAGCCTCCATCTAAGGCTCTACCTCTTCTAAATTAGCTGCGAGCTTGTATCATTAGTTTAGAATAAGGTGCTGAAGGCTCAAAGAACAGATTTCCTTCTAGAGACGGATGCCCAGGCTTAAGGTAGTGGCTGCAGAAATGGTACCATCTTTGGTGGCTTAGAGCTGATGGGCTGAATATACAGGAAATTATTACAGTGCAAAATCTACCCAACACCTTTTATACAAAAAAAATTTTTCAATAAACTAATAGGAAATTTAACTGCATTTTTACTACATGACAACTTAATAGCAGAGTTAGCACAATGCTTAAAGAAAAAAATTAGGAAAAAAATTCTATATTCATAACAAAAATTCTGCGCTAAGAATTTGTTGTTGTTGGGGCCAGGGATATAGCTCAGCAGCATAAGTGCCTGCCTGGCAATTGCAAGGTCCTGAGTTCCATTCCTGGTACCCCTCCAGAAAAACCCCAAAATCTGCTGTTGTTGTTGTTGTTTTATGGAGGACTCTGTCTTGATCATGTCACTGACTCAACATTCGTGACTCCCTGGATATCAGCAGGTGCACCTCTCAGCAACGGTCCTCCCTGCCATCGCCTGAACACCTGTGCCACAGCACAGCCACCTTCCTGACCTGAGCTGTCTCGGAGGCCCGCCAAAGGGTCTGCCTCTGCTTGTGCCTTTATAATACCACGAGCATCTTTGCAAAATGAAAGCTACTCTGTTCAGATGCACCCAGCTTGGTTCTGACCAGGCCCTGCACCTCTATGTAAAAGGAATTCCTCCCCTCCACTGGGATCCCACCAGCTTTCCTTATACAGAATCAACACCTCCCCTTCCCTCTTGCAAAGCAAAATCCAATCAAGCAAACAAGCAAAACTACTCACAAGCAAATCTTCAAGCCAAGATGCCATAGCTCAGCAAGCCTTTCACATCTCCACTTCTCACCCCAAACCACGCCACTATAAGCGTGGCAAAACCTAGTATTCACTCACGTTTCCTTTAACCCTTTCCAACTCACATGATACCACATGGTTCTGGCAAGAAACATAACATAGAGGTAATTTAAAATTTATACTTCAGATCTATTTCTTATTAATGATATTTTTGCAAGGGTCATCTCACAGCTCCCTGTGACAACATACTCACCAATGCTTCAAAAATGTAAGAAATTTAAAATCTTTATTCAACACACACTTTACACTGTCTCGACAAACAAGTTTTTAAAGCCCTCCACTACAGATCAAATGTATTTGTTGATTTATAGAGTCATGTAGAAAATTATTATTCAGCTTTTTCTAGAGATGTTAGAATGTTACTTGAAATGTTGGATGATATTTTAGGCTTTCTTTGCTATTCTCCTTGGATATGCCAGGGCTTTGCATGAACAGCACTAGAGTATTTTATTCACAGGGTTTAAGAAAATGGTTAACAGTGATTTATAAATTAGGAAACTTCTTAATGCATTACATTCACTTTCAGGCTGGAAAAATAGTACTGGCCATGTCAATGGCTGCATGTAAGAATTCCAAAAGTCAGAAGCCATTGGAGAAATATTTGGGCAGATAAGTAACCCAAACTGATTTTCACCACTGCTCTTTTAGGTCATAAAGAATTACAAAAAAGTGAATATTTTGGTCAAACATAAACATATTGAACAGAGGATGAAAAAGACACACACTGCTTTTCTGATGGTAAAGTGAGAACTGGCAATACATATAATGTACATTTTAAAAGGATTGAGGTAAAATTCTCCTTAGAGGAAAAAGCTATGGAAATGCTCTGGTTTTCTGGCTAGATGGATGTACCACATGAGAGTTAGCAAATGAGTAAGGGATGAAGGCCCAAGGTCAGGGAAAACCATACTGTAGATTCCAATGTCACAAGCACATCAAATGAGGTGAATGAAAAAGAACCTCATCTAAACAGGAAATTCAAATTTAAAGGTCTGCCAAGAAATTGTAACAAAGGAGGAAAAACTGATAGATTCAACAAAGAGATGGTCACCCGATATACTTGAGGAAAACTCTTACATATATTATAATGGCTGATTTATAGTCTCATTTCAGGATATTTTTCCTGTCACTAAGGATCTTTAAAAGTTATATACTGTATTTTTAAATTTTTTTTTTCCTTCCCACAAAGGCTTTAGGCCTTAGAGGGTTGTGCAAATGTGACCGCCTAGAGTCACACTTAGCTGCCTCAGCACAAGATTCTGAAAGAATTATCTGCAGGAAATAGTTTTATTTGGTCTGATTTCAGAGGGGTAAGTTGTTTCAAAACACAATGGCACAGTGCAGTGGATGGCACACTGGTGCCACCAAAGGCCTTATCTTACCATACAAGTATCCAGGTCTTCCAAACGCTCTACTTCCGTCAACTCCTCCATGGTGATGAGAGAGCGCTTTGCTGGCTTCTCCTCAGCCAGTTCGATGTCCAAGGAGTCTTGCTGAGGAAGGGTCTTGCCACGTCTGCTGAAATGCTCAGCCTAGAGGATCAAGATGCCACAGAAGAAATAAAGCAAGGAGTCAGGGCCGAGCTGGCAGGCTGCTCCTGAAGATGTCCTTTCCAAGATGGCGCCTAGGCAAGCAGTCAGCAGCCACTCAGGAATCCCCAACACAGCAGCTGGCCTCTTTTATTATCTCTCTTTGTAAGCTTAAGAGAAATTACAAACCTCCCTTCAACAGTGAGGAGATTAGTCTAGAATAAAATAAGCAGTGTTCTCTTTATTCATTCTATTTGAAAGAATCTTTCTATATCTAGTGCTTTAAAAAGTTAGCTAGTGAGGGAAATAAAATGATTCCAGCTTTTATTATTTTAAAAGAATGAAAGCAAAGAAATTACTAAAAAAATTTATTATTTTTTTAAATTTTTTTATTTTTTTTGTTTTTTTTTGTTTTTCCGGTACTGGGAATCGAGCTCACAACCTTGCACTTGCCAAGCAGGCGCTGTGCCGCTGAGCTAAATCCCCAGCCCGCTAAAAAAATTGAATGACTGTTAGCTATCATTATTTTCAGGCGAGGAATAGCACATTTGATATGATTTACTATAGCCAATGTTATGTTTTAGGTAAACAAAAAAGTTAAATGGTGAGAGGTAGAATGAACTGGGCTGAAATGGAAAATCTCCAGTGTTGGGCTGATTTTACACCAGAAACTATGACTTAATTCTTTTGAAACAATGAGGAGCAGTTGTACAGTCTGTGGCAGCTTTGATAATGCTTCTAAAAAGATAAAAAAAAATGATGTCTGAATTGCAAAAAAAAGTTTCACTTTGAAGACACCATTTCATATAATATCTAATCTCTTATTATAAATTCAAACTAATATATTTGTATGAAAATGAAGTTCCAAACAATAGAAGAGCGTATTCACACACAATTCCTTTTCATGTATAAAAGAATGTATCAGTGCTTCCTGAGTAAGTTCTTCAGTGAAGGACAAATGTAAAAGGTGAGGAAGTCAAACTTTTTGTGTAATTTTTACATGCAGTCTCACTGATCAAACACCCTGTACTGGTGTCTCTAAGGGAGGGTTCTGAGGTAGTTCCTGTGGGTTATCAATTTAAAAATGTTTCTAATAAGAGTGGTGCACTGATTTTGTTTGTGCTTATTTTGTAAAAAGAGGAGTCTGAGGTGGGAGTTCCAAAGAAGGATGCAACTCTCAACTGTGCCAGGATTAAAGAGTAGAGCTTCTTCAACTTTAGCATATAACAGACCAGTCTTCTATGTATTCTAAAACTGGCACAAAATGATATACAGATTAAATACAATGAACAAAATTTTAGAAAAATAATGTGTGTTTGGCTATTGTTGCATGCCTAATTGTTCTAGGAGTTTTCTCATTGCCTCCTGTTGGATCCTCAACTCGTGAGTGGTCGTGACTGGTTTACAGTTTACAAGACAGTGTTACACACTTTTCTCATTTGTCTGCTTCTAGATGTCCCTCTCCCTTTATATTCTCTTTTACTGCGCAAAATCCAACGCCTTAAAACTGGGCCTGTTAATCCTACAGTAAATCAGAAATTTTTTCTCTAGAGTGACATGCATGGTAACATTTTTGAGACATGAGATAGAGCCAGTTTTAAAACCATCTATGCCTTGGAGCACACTTTCAACTTCAAGAAATACGTATCTTCTATTTTTGATCTGTACTGATATTGGAAGTTCCCCTACACCTTAGTACAGGGCCAGTCTATAGATGAGGGACCGTTACTGTTTCTCCTTGGTTCTATCAGAGGCACCTGCTGGGCAGCCAGCAGCCATCAATCACTACGTTATGCCCATTTGCCTCTGGTACTTTCTCTGAACTCCAAATATTTCAATTCCCTCTAGTGCATTACAAAATAATTGTGGCAGAGCAACAAAGTGAGCATCAATAAATTAAACTAAAATTTTAATTTTTAGACCCCAGTCTCAACCTCACTGCTTACCACAACTTTAGGCCTGCAGTATTAGTGAGTGAGATCTCTGGGGACAGCTACTTCTGCTTCCCTGTCATTCCCTCTGGAGAAATCTGAACATGCATGGCTGGAAGCAACAGAGAAGAGGAAGAAAGAAAGACCAGAACCTTAACCCATGCAGCTGAAATCTGAAATCTGAACATGTATGGCTGGAAGCAACAGAGAAGAGGAAGAAAGAAAAACCAGAACCTTAACCCATGCAGCTGCAAAGGGATGAAATGCAGAATGCAAACCACACCCCCATCAGAAGGCCACCCTGTGTCACAGTGCAGCCAAAACTGGAGGCCTTGCTCAAGATGGGTGCGGCACTCACCAGCTTATGGTGGCAGTGTGAGAGTGCGTCCAGGATCTCGTCCACAATCCGATCAGACAGGAAGGAGGCCACCGTCAGCTTCACTTCGCTGTGTGAAAACCACAAGGACAGAGCAGTGTTGGAATTTGTGCAAGGGGAGAAAAGTCACTCACCCTGGACGCTATGGAGATAGGGTCAACCATGAATCTGCTTCTTTGAAAACGGAAATTAGACTGCCTGAACAAGGCTAAATACTTCCAAAAATAAGCCTTAAACACCGCCATAAACACACAGGTAATAGATTCTTTTTACCAATTTCAATCTGCCTCTGTAGTTCCAAAGCTCAAGATTTAATGCTAGAAATGAAAAACATCTGGATAAAGATAAATTTAATGGGAAACACCTATACCATGTGGCAAGGTACAGTTCACCCATTCACAGAAATGGAAACAATCCTGGGCTGGAATGGATTAAGCAAGTCTAGCCTGGTTGCTAAGTCTTAGTTTAATACACACATCCCCCACTCTTTTAGAAAACTACACCAATCTCATGGTGCGGTATTAGCACCATATTATACTGCTTATGCTTTCACTTTTACTTTTTCTCAATACAGTACTAGGGACTGAACCCAGGGCCTTTGCACTGAGCTGCACCTTCAGACCTTTCTTTTCCTTCCCCCCTTTCTTCCTTCCCCCGCCCCCCGTCAATACAAGGTCTTGCTAAGTATCTAAAGTGTCCAGACTGGCTTTAAACTTACAATTGCCCAGTCTCAGCTTCCCAAGGTGCTGGGATTGCTTATCCATCTTTTTTTTAAGAATTTTTTTGTGGGGGGGGGGGTGCTGGGAATCGAACTCAGGACCTTGCACTTGCCAGGCAGGTACTTGGGCTGCTGAGCTATATAAACAGTTCCTGCTTATCCATCTTGCAGTAAAAAATTGCAAATGTAGTCTGCTCTGATGTTTTCTGAACAGAAGTTACTAAAATGTTCAGTTCTGGTTCCGTCTGCTTGAGCTCCCTCTAATAGCACCCAGGTAACAGAAAGTGGTTTGCAGTTTTTACAAACAGATCCAGCCACTAAGGTTTCTATCAGATGGCTGATATTTAGCGTTTTAACAGTGTGGTTTTTGCAAGAATTCAGCTTCCATGTGTGTCTGTAGGGTGGACAACACCATTTTACTACACAGTCGTCCTAAATGCAAAATGCATCTAAAGGTCAACATGCTAGGGACACAAATCCACATTTTGACATTGTCTCAAAAGTTCAGCCTGCTTTTGAGGTCAACAATTTTTATGCTTTCACAGCTGGTAAAGGACTTATCAAAATAAAATTACTTAATCCTAAAGCTAAGTTTGAAAATACATTTGTGTTAACAGGGAAAATCTTTTTCTAATTTAAAGGCTAATTTTTGCATTGAGATTTTTCTGCCTGGGGAACTTTTGGAACTAAGGCAGAAGAACAGAGATACCAGTTCTTTGATTCCTATACTAAAAATGTGCCTGGGCTAAAGATAAAAGGAGGTTTCTTTAATTCCTGTTTATGAAACAAGAGCTCATTAGTTCTTTGGCTTATCTAATATTTCATTATGCCCCAAAGGTGTCCAGGGGCAAGATTCACCTGGGTCTCATTTTAAAAATAGATTATTGAGTCTCACTCCAACTTTCCAGAGGTGCCTGGGAAGTTTGCCTCTGATTCTTTTAAGGCATGCTTGGGAATTACTGTCCTCATACCACTCTCAGCTCAGCAGTTTGTATCTCTCTGTCTCTCCCTTCCTCTCAAGGTGGAAAGGAGTGGTCTATCTATGTCAAATCACAGCACCGAAAGAAAGAAGCTTAAAAATGCAATTATTTTGAACGTTCCATTATTCAAACTGTTCCATTATTTTGCTACTGAGTGCTACACTTTCTTTTGGATTGAGCTTTCAGTATGCAAAACTGCCACAGGAATGCAGTCACTTCTTCCTGAGTGTGCCCAAGTGCCTATAAGTATGATGTACATACATACATATGTGCGTTGGTCCTTTCAACCTATCATGCTCAGGTTAGTGTGTTATAAAAAACCAACCGGCAAGCCAATGTACATAAAGTTGATTAACTGATATGAAGAGTTCTAGTCTCACGGGAAACTTTTGGAATTTGTCCATTTCCGAAATGACCATATGTGACAGAATCTGATACTCCAGTAAAGACATCAAGAGTATGATCTGGTGGTGGCTGAACCCACTATTAGGAAAGAAAAGTGGTCAATACATTGTTTACCTTAATATTTAAAGGAGAGTTAATATTTAATGTTTTAAATGTATTTTGTTTTAAATATATAATACTCTGTTCATTTTCAATGAAAAAATGCAAACATCCATCATAAGTGATGGAATATTTCATAAAATAACTAATATATGGGATACTATACATTCTTTGACAATCTTTTTAATTTCTAAAGTTCTTCCAGCTGCCAACAATTCAGCTGTGCAGGTTGTAAGAACTTAATTAAAACCACAAACAACAAAATCCAAGAGCTGCATCTTAGGCTTGAGACTGTACAGCTCCTGCAGAAACCCTAAATCCTCAAGGTGCTATAACCTAGTTTTAAGGCTGTCACTGTCCATTATCACCCTCGATATGTCACCTTCAATATGCCACCCTTCGATAAAAGCAATGATTTTATGTTTTGGTTTATGCTATTTTGGTGTCTCGTGTTTCTTGCAGGTTGCCATTTACCTCCATCAATCTGTGTTAGCACTATTCCTACTCTCCTGACAGGAGCTATTTTTGCTACATCCAAACAGTCCTATCAATATTCAGAAATAGTTAAAAGAGAAATTAAAACTGTTCTTGAAATTTCACTCATCTGAATCTTTAACTAAGAAACAGAGTAAGAATTAGCCGAGTCATCACGGAATACTGGTGATCACCAAGAGTTTCTATGTTGAAATGCAGGGAAATATGTCAGTGATCACAGCTTTTAAATGTTTGAGTCTTGGCATATTTTTCAAACAGCTGCCTCTGTAAACCCCAGAAAGACATCATCAGTACATACGCAGTATCACAGGTCTACCAAAACAACCCAGAAGGAAAATATGGTAGGGTCCTAGAGGGTCTCTGTGTCTATTATAGCCTTTGCATTTGCTCTTAATAGCATGGTGACAGAGAGCAAACTGGCCTTAGTGTTTAATTAGCGATTTAGAAAGAAAAACATCTGAAGCAGAAACTAGGATTACAAACATGTCCCTCTCCCTTAAATATAAAACCTTAAAGAGAGCCGATAACTCTAAGCTCTTGGGCAATGCAGGCATACATGTGGAAATATATAAAACCTTCTTATTTTGGAAATGTATAAAACCTATGTGTTTATGCACAGCTATATTTATATGCAGCCCCTGCCTATTAGATATGCCTGAGCACATAATATACGGATAAAGCCAACATTAATACTCTTTAGAGCTGCCTCAACTCACTCATGGATACTGCAGATCCACGGCTTATTAATGTTATAAACCCACCTAATTTTGTTAAGGATATCAATTCCAGACTGCTCCAACAGGACATTTTTAACAAAGGTACGTGGAATGGAAATCTTTTCGGTGCTGGCATGAATCAAGTCTTGTCGAATGTGGGCTTTTCTCATCACATTGGGACAAAGGTTCTCAGCAGCATCGACCATGGATTCAAGCAGAGCCTGCAATGCAGCACAGAGGAGGGCGAGATGATGACACCGGAAGGGAGACGCCACCACAAAACTGTGAGGTGGCGCCAAGCTTGGGCATCACCAGAAATCCAAAGCTGCCCAAGGTGACTTGGGACTGCTGCATAATTGTGATCTCAGGTAACCACTTAAATCGGACACTGGCACCTGCAGTGTGACAACACACCAGCCTAACAAAGCTGTGAGTGCGCAAATTAAAAAATACAAGTGTCCAACCTTTATGCACCGACTTTCCACATCAGATCGTTCCTCCTTATACTAGAAAATAAACTTAGGGGTAGGAACCCCAGACCTAGAAAGAGAAAGACCTAAAAAATACATCAGATTGGAATGCTTGTGACATTTTGCAAATGACAGAAACCTCAAATTAGGTCAAATCATTCAAAGGCTCTCTCAAAACAGCAGCAGCTGATTAATCAAAGAAACCACTGCCAGTTTTGCTCCTTTAAAAGAAAAGCTTTAGAGTCAGGTAAAACAATAATTATTATAACAACAATAAACAACATAGACAATAGTCGATGAGGATATTCACAGAGCACTTAATAAAAATTAACAGCAATAGTCATAAACACATTCATATAGCACTTTAGAGTATGAAAAACGTTTCTGCACATTTCATTCCTCCAATATCTGTGAAGACGAACAGAGCAGCTACACATGTGACCACCATTTTACAGTCGAAGAATGTGAGCAAAGGGAAGTTACACAATGCGCTTGAGATGGACCATACAGCTGGCAATTGTGGACAGGCATCACTGCCTGTGTCAGACCTGAGTCTGCACCCATCTGAGCAGTACTGGGTAAAGTTACTGATTTCATCATTTTACATTTCTCGCCTGAAAAATGGCAGTTAAAAAAAAAAGTTCTCACTTCATAGGATTATTGAGGATTAAATATTACACATGTAAAATGTCTAGCGCACAGTTATTCACAGATAACAGCTATTAATCCAGAGTACCAGCCTAGCACTCCTCAGAAACAGGACCTCAGGCATCGGCACTGTTTAACTCTGTCCTGTTCATCAGCCTACAAGTTACTCTCTGAACAGTCCCCCTGCACGAGGGCGCGAATTCAGGCAGAGTGCACTCCAGAGGGAAAGTGTGAAGATCTGGCCCCTCGTGAAGGGGCTATGGAATGAGTCGGGAGGGGTAGGAAATAATCCATCTCTGCTGTTCTCAGATTCTCACCTTCAAAATCAGCAATGTCTAAGATCTCTTTCTCCTCTATAATCGATGAGTACACACCTTGCGCCCTATCAAAAGGAATTTTAGCTACCTTAGGCATTTAATTCAAATATTTTGCAGTTGGCTCCCCACAACACCTGTACACTTGCACTAACAAACATACGATACAGCACTCTGTACAAACTACAATCATCCACAGCCTCTTTTAATCCACATAGCAAGTCTAGAAATCAAGGTAGATTTGAACATCTCCATTTATAGATGAGAAATCTGCAGCTCAGAGAAAACAAGTCACCTGCTAGGGTCACATGGCTGGTTTCTAGAATTACTGAGTTGGAAACTAGAGTCTTCTGCTTCCCATGCTGGCACCATCCTCTCACACCCTGCCCAGGACCCAAAGCGTGTTCCTTTCCTCTCTGCTTCATCACCTCTACTTTCCCCTGAGTCATCTGCACCAGATTTAGTGGCGGCAGGACCTGGAGAAAGGGTCGCAGAACACAATTATAATGAATCGCCTAGCCAGGCATGGTGGTGCATACTTGTAATCCCAGCACTGGGGAGGCTGAGGCAGCAGGATCACCATGAGTTGGAGAACAGCATGGGCTACATAAGCAAGTTCAAGGCCAGCCTGCACTACACAGTAAGACCCTATCTCAAAACAAACCAACAAACTGAACCCCCGACCAGTCTTCATGCCCAGCTTACAGCCCAGGGTTTTAGACACGCCCCTTCCAGGTACTCAGGCCTGCCACACTCTAGATCCTGTTAACATCCACCCTACCTGTGGCTTCACCTTACTACCACATCCCAGTGAGTACAGTACCGCAAAGTGTTCGGTTTTGCCGTCACCTACCCTTGCCAGATACTGTGACAACCAATGTTCCTCTAGGAATGCAGTACAGTAGCTTCAAATCCCACCCTTCTGATGGTTTCAGACACAATCAACGTTGTTCCATAGAGTCAGTGTTTCATTTACCTACATCTGGCATTTTCTCTGCTCATTATTCTTTCCTCAAGCACAGACCTTTCTCTGATAACTTTTCCTCTGTCCCAAAGTATGCACCTGCAAAAATTTTGTACTGTTGCTCAGTGATAGTAAACTATCTCAGTTTCTGATTTGATGAAAATGTCATCACATCCTCATTCTTAAATATTAAGTCCACTGGGTTTTAATTCTAAATAGACACTTCCTGTTTGCTCAGAAGTCTGAAGATGTGATTTCATTGTCTTCTAGCTTCTACTAAGTGTTGAAAATTGAATGAGCAGTGCTCATGTCAGATTTTCTTAAATAATAAAAAAATCTCCCTTTTCCTTTGACTACGTCTTTGTTTGTATTTTCTTCCATGTTCATGATGATGATTCTAGATGTGGACTGTTTCAGATCTGCTGGTCTTCCTGAATTGGAAGAGGCTGGACTATTATTAGTACCCAAAATTCTTAGCCACCAACTCTTTGAATTCTTTTTTCTTTTATTTTGGGAATCTAAAGTAGACTTCTGTGAGACTTTCTCACTCGCTCACTCTGTCGGTGTCACTGAACTTTTTTTACACCTCCTTCATTTTGTTAGTCTCAGTTTTCCTGCCCTCACATGCCTTGCAGTGAACAGACACGGTATCTGAACTGTAGTGATCAGATTTCATTTTGCACAGATGAGGGGTAATCAAAATATAAGCTGAATATTAATAAAAAGTTTAACACACAAAGACACATTGCCATTAACCTTTCTCATACTTCAAACACTTATTCCATCATTTGTGTCACTTTCTGAAGCAACTATGAAGTCTTCTAAGTGCCTTTAGAGGTGATGAAAAATACAGCGAATGCTGTTGCTGAATGCCATCCAATGAAAAGGCAGACTTACAAAAACATGACGGTATGTTTTCAGCCACCTTGTGTACCAGATTTAGCATCATGAGACTTCTGACTCTTCCCCAAAGTCAAAATAAGCATGACAGGTAAACATTTTTAACCTATTCAGCACATCCAAGCAGCCACAATAGTGCAGATAAAGACACTCAAGAAACAGGATGATCAGAAATGCTTCGGAAAGCGGCAAGAATAAGTGTGTTTGAAACAAGGCAGAATATTTTGAGGAGGATTGATGGCAATGTGTCTTTTAATGTAATAAATTTCTAAATAATTAAACATTCACTGTTACACCTCATATGTCCCTAATGACACTCTCAAGGGTACATATTTCTTAACTATAAAAACTGATAGCACTTAGGAAATCTGTGTAATATTTGTAAAACAAATTGGTTTAAAAGCTTCAGATGGCAGCTAAATTCATACCCTTGCATTTACTCAATGACTGGCAAATACAACTTCCATACTAAAGTGTTCCATGTCCAGAAACCTTGCCTAAGACTGAGATTAAGGGTGGTGGACTAGTTAATCTGGCAGAAGAAATTTTAAGGCAGGATGTTGAGGCTGTGGCGTGGCTATTGTTGGGGGATTTTAGCCAGATCTATGTTGAGAGTCCAAAGCAAAGAGCCCAGCAGGATGATTTAAAATGTTATGAGTCTGGCCAGAAAGGAAGCCCCAGTAAAGCTGTGAACTGCAAAGATAGAGCTGAGGTGATCTTGATTGTTGAGAAAGAACGGGAGAATGGAAAAGATGGTCTGAGGGCATCACAAGAAGCAGGGAATCTCTACCTTTTACAGCCTTAAAATTATAAAAGTGAAAGAGTGTGCTTTGAGGAGAAAGCCACACAGAACCATCTTCCAGAATGGTGGCAGCATAGAGAATTTGTATCTCAGAATCGGATTCAGACTGACCAGCAATGCAGACACTCAACCTCTACAGCCACGAGAGAGAAAAGCCTGGCTACTGCTCCAACTGGCAGCAGACCTTCATCCACATGCTGCTGGCTTTAGGCACATGAAGAATGCAAGAGTTATGAGGTCAAGGCGGCTTCCACCTCGATTTCAGAAGGCCTGTGAGACCAGGCAGTGTGCCCCTGAGAGGGCAATATGTGAAGCTGTGAAGGCGAAGCTAAAGGTACAATGGAGACCCCAGAAGTTTGGAAAAGCCAGGAACATGGATCATCTAAGAAAAGCTGCAAGGAGGGACCAAAGCAGGCCTAAGAGAGAAGCCATGAGAGCTATAACCACCAGAAGTGCCCTAGGGGTGGAACCATCCAAGCCCTTTGAAGTTTACAATGTGTCACAGATTGTTTCAGATTCTGGACACGGAACTACAGGACTTTATATTTGCCCTGCTGGATTTTGGACTTGCTTTGGTCCCAAACCTTGGTATCCCACTGCTTGTACCTTTTGGAATGAAAATGTTTATCTTTGTGCGACTGAATGTTACAAGTGTTTTAACTTTTCATTTGTATAGCAGCTTGTAGCTGAGAGTTTGCCTTACATCTCAGAGGAGACGTGGGACTTGGACTTTTCAGCAATGCTGAAACTGTTACAACTTTGGCAACTCTTACAGATAGACTAAATACCTTTTGCATAAAGGGATGTGCATGCGTCTTTAGGGGGCCAGGGACAGATAGTTATGGTTCTAATGTAATATAATGTTGATAGACTTAAAATTAGTTCTTAAGGATTGTTAAACCTGTGTTATAAATGGTCAAGTTGTGAAATGTTAGGAATAAGCATGTCTTTGTATGTGGAAACTAATGTTTAAAGAAATGTGTCTGGTTGCCAAGTTAACAAGGGGTGGATTGTAATGGTTGATACACTGTGTCAACTTGAGAAGTTTACAAGTTTAACTAAGCAAATCAGCAAGGAGCCAGGGTCCTTACTTTGTAAATATCCTCATCCTGTGCAAGAGGAGGGCATGGAGATTGTAGTAGTGCTACACACCCCCCAGGGGGTGGTAGCCTGCTTACAATAAAAGGGACGGAAAGAGGCTTGTTCTTTTGATGCTTTTGATGTCTTCTGCTGCCTTCAAGTGTTGCCCCTATGCTACGCCACTCTGCCTTGGAGCCACTGACTATGGACTGAAACTTCCATAAACTGTGAGTTAAATAAACTTTTCCTTCCAGCTGCCTTAGTTTTTGCTAATATAATATGCTACTTTTAGAAAACTGGGAAAACAGAAAAAAAGGACTCTTTCCCAAGGAAAATTTGATATTAGTAGCAAAATAAGTAATAGCCACTCTAGTTTATTAAGAAATGGAACCCTGGTTGTATTAAAAATGCATTTTCCTTTCATAATTTTAAGAAAATCATAGAGTACTATTTAGCTACAAAAGAAGGAGAAAACTAAGTCATTTGCAGGAAAATGGATGCACCTTGAGGCCATAAATCAGACAGACAAGGTTACATATTATATAGTTTCTCTTATATAAGAAACCCAAATAATTTAAAGAGTAAAATAAAATATATATTCCAGGAAACACAGAGATAGATTATGTGGTGATGGGAAGAAGGTTCTAGGGATGGTGGAAAATGGGAGGGAGGAAAGGGAAAGGAAAAAGGAACTACAATCAATAGGTCTATGTACCCGTTCCCCACAAGGAATGTACTTATTATATATTGTGAACATATACAAATAAAATGAATAAAACTTTAAAAAAATGCATTGCAAGGCTAGTATAAAACAAGAATGATTTTTGTAAACAGCAAAAGGTAGCCCATTTGTTGGGTAAACGGGAAGGGAACAGAAAGGATGTACACTGACTACAGTCTATGGACACTATCAAGAACTCACTGCGCACCCAGTGAAAAGAAAATTAAACAGTAACATTCAATTAAGATGCATGTATGGGGGATTTGCTATGATTCATGACAGACATTCCCAAGAGGAAAGGAACTGAAAACTGAGAGGGACTGAGAATAATGAAAAGAAGCAAATAGGAAAGGGAGGGACAGGCCAGCTGGGGGCCGGGAGGAAGTGAGAGGCTAGAAAAGCATGCTATGGTCCTTGCAGATAAACAAGTAGGTGACAAACTGAGAACTCTGGTGACATTTAACAGAGTCAGAAAAGTTAGCACGCTACAGAGATGCAGGGAATGCCTATTTAGAAAAACTAGGTGGTTCTAAATATACTTATGTTTTACAAATTCAAATGCCTCTTACTTGCTGACTTCTAGTTTCGCCCAAGAACAACTAGCAAGAGTCAGTTTCACACATTCTGTGCAGTAAGCAGGAAAGAGACCTCAAGGGGCACTAGGTAATGTGCAGGCCAGACAGCTTGAATGACAATGGACAGTTGGAAGCAGCTGAATGGGAAGGGCCCTGCTACAATGTTTCATGCTGATTTAAATCTCAGCCAGTTCTTACTATGCAAGAAATTATTACAAACATTTTTTTTAAAGAAAAAAGGCAATGGACGTGAATAGGTAATTTGCAACAGAAGAAATAAGTGCGTAACAAAATTACTTGATCACTGCATTATTACAGAAATTTTTAAAAACGAGATAAAAGAACTCATTAAAAACATGAGTGTTACCTGCTGTATTTAGTATTGCTCAGTATGTAGCAAAATGATCAACTGCACCACTGGGCAGTTTACAAGCACACATGAAAGTATGAACATATGTACTACTTAGTAGAATTAATCAAAAAAAAATTTTTTTTTTTTAATCAAAATTTAGAAAAGAAACTATGGTGGTACATTTACATAACAGAATACCATGTAGCTACCAAAACTGATAATAATTCATCACTATTAGAGTTGCATTTATGACACTGTACCAGATATAAAAGGTTACTAATCTATAAGTACAATACTGCATAAATGTAAAATTGTATGTAAAGGTGCAGAACGCCTGAAAATTCACTAAATTATTCAAAGTGATGTAATCTCTGAGATTTCAGTGATTTTTTACTTTACACATACTTGCTAAAATGTTTCACAAAGAAAAGAGTTTCACTTCTTATAGTCAGAAAAAAAACAACAAAGTTGATTTGATTTTAAATATATAAAATAGTATCCACTGTGTACTTTGTCCTTCATGAAGGACACAAGTGCTATTCAGCAACAAATGGTCTGGCAGGACTTCTCATCAACCAACAGGTCTTTTTCTAACCTCTATCTTAGTTTAAGGTAAATTCAAAAGTGGTACATAAAAAGTAACACACAAGTATCTCTGTATGATTAAAGGAAGACAGGGACATAAACACCTAAAATCCAAAACACTGTGTCCATCATTAACTTAATTTTCAAAGGGAGAAACTTGTACCTCAAATCTCTATGAGGTACGGCAGTTGTGTTCTTGGAAGAAAACAGATCAGATAATTATAGAAATTCAGACAAGGAGTTTTTAAGGCAACCTTGAAAGGCAGACTAGAAATAAGGAAAACTTTTTAAATGTGAAATCTCTCTGGTATACTCGTACTTTGAAATTAACTTAAGAAAACGTGGGTCTACAGCGCACCATTAAAATATCACAGATTGTTTTTAACCCTTTTTCAGTCAGGACACCTAGAAGAGATCTTTGGTACTCTGAGTGCCCTGTGACTCCATTCTAAATATTTCTCCTAGTCTTTCAATCAAAGGTCCTTTCAAGGACCGCTGTGCATCTGCCTAGTGTCAGACTCCCATCTAGGAACTATAGGCACGGCCCCGTCATCCTTCCATACTCAAAATCAAATACAGTAACAGAAGACTGCTTTTTTTTTTTTCTTCCTGAGTAGACTTCTTTTGTGCCATCTAAGGAGTAATCAACCATTCTTTATTTATCATATTAAGGACACCCAGAGATTTACCATCAAAAATTAAATCAATGTTCACTTGAACTTGTTTTATAAGAAGTTACTCTACAATGTATAAACAAAGCTGGAATACATGTGCACTGACACAAAAAGCATGCGTACGCACACCCCTTTGTAAAACACATGTAGCTGTGTGCTGAAGTGCTATCATTTACATTCCAATCAACAATTAACAAAACCACAGACCTTTAGTTGTTCATCTACAACTCTTGTAACTTCTCCTGCCATCGATTCCAGGGTTTCCTGAATGGGATTGGATAATAAACCGCTGGTTCCTGCCCAAGATGCACCACCAACATGGTACAGATTTGGTAGCAACTGTAAGAAAAATAAAAAATAACTATAATAATAAAACACTGTGATATAAAATGGGAAAAACTGTTCTGCTGCTTCTCCACTGAGACCAATACTTCAATAGGTACCAAATCACTGCAGAGTTAATGAAAAGCTGTAGAACTATTATTAGGGGCGATCTGTTCTTGGAAAAACACTCTTTGTACAGACAGATAAACTGAGGTTCAGTTCTTTAAGGGCTTTACTTTTATTCAGTGAATCCCAGTAAACCCGAGAAACACACATGGGATTTGGAGACCTCCACACTGACCTTCTTGTCACTCAGCAGTATGGAAGCCACACAGCAGTACATGGAAGTGTAGAAGCCTCCCCGTGTGCTTCGTGTTCTTATCTGAACCATGATAGCTGACTTATTTTTATTTATACTTTGGTCACCAAAAATGTAGGCTTTGCCACATAAGGCAATTCTCTAATTCTTCGCAGATACTAACTGAGTATCACTTGATTCAGTTCAATTCAACTATGAGACTCTTGTCTGTCGCTAGTGTCGGATCCTACAAGGTTAGGGCTCAGTCTCACAAAAATCCCCCAGTTCAGATGCCAGTTCCAGGTCCCAGGTCACCACTGCCACTTCTGGACAATCAATATAAATGCCAGACATCCCGCAGCTTACCCATCAGGTTCAAGAATTTACCACAATGATTTGCAGAACTCAGGAAAGCACCTTACTTATTAAAAAGCACTTTACTTATTAAAAGCTGGCTTATTAAAAAGGGCAGAACAGAGGAATTTATTCAGTTGGAGGTAGAATAACTTTAAGTGAGTTATTACTCACTGAAGCTATGCACCAGCTGTTTAGGGCCCAATTTTATCCTTTGCAAGTCATGCTGGCCCTCTGCTTTGTATTCCACATTCTTTACATTTTTGGTAATCGGCACACGTATAGAAAGGGGACAAAGATTAATTCAGGTCACTATGTCACCTGTTAATAAACTTGGAATTTGGTAGAGAGGTAAAGGAACTTGGAACTAGTTTCTAAAATTTAAATGAAAAACACTCTTTTTAGCACACAAGATTCACGCAAAGCTTGACGTGAAACTTACTGTTTTAGAGTTCTTCGCATCACGCATGAGCCGTTCTGCTGACTTTAAATCTTCCTGGATAGCATCTCCCCCGCAATTTCGCAAAGAGTTGAGGTGATCTTGTACTTTCACACATATTCTGTCAATCATCTGCGCCAAAACAGAAAAGCATCCAAGGAAGCCCAGGTGATAGTCAGATAGAAGGAAACACAGAGCAAAGAATGGTAAAAATTTCAGAAAACTAAACGCAGGAGGCTAAAAGCTTCTTTATGGAAGCTTAGTGAATACAGTTTATAGCCAATTATTACTTTAAGTATTCATGCAAGAAAGCTCTGGCAACATTAACTCCAGAGGAAAGATTTAAAGCATTTTGGTCCTTTGCCTACCTTAAGACATGCAGCAAGTAAAGCAAAAGTGAGCCCTTCTTGAGGATTTGAAACCTTGCAGCTAGCTTTGCTGGACAGTGACTCTCCCCCATTAACTTATACTGTGTGCTCTGTGGCTGTGACACATAGCGCCAGGCACCCAGGGACCAGACATGAAATGTGCAGTGTGGAGACTGCTGAGATGAGGACAAAATGATGCCAGTGGCTGATCAGTCTCAGTACTACTGAAGTCAGAATAGCCTCTGCAAATGGACAGTTTTTAAATTAATATGACCACATGAACTACTGTTCTATATAAATGAAGAGCCATCAAAACATAGATGCGAGTGGAGATCTTATTATATCAACACAGGTAATGGTAAAATTAATCACATTTACTTTATTTCCCTCCAAAGGAGACTTACCTGGAAAATAAGCCCTAGATGAGTTTTGAGGATCCTTGTAATACAAGCCCTACCCCCCAAAATAAAAGTTCAGGTCATCAACAAGACAGATGCATTTAGTAGTCCACTGCAGCACATGACAGATGTATTGAATTATAAAATAATATTAATATGCAATTAAACATAAAAACGAATATTACTGACTTTAATACTTAAATACATGATAATATAAATTATAATTAAGTATTTGTAAATACCCAAGTGGGTGCTTTCGGATGAGAGGTAAATGCTTACGTAAACAGATAAACTCAGGACTTATTGCTGAATGACCAATTGCAGTCCAGACATAATGCACAAATATGGGGCATACTTAATAATGCATGGACATGATTGTCTAATGAATCTCCACGATTCAATATGTTGCGTGTTGTAACAATGCACCACAAGCAGGCTACATGGATACGAAGTGCTTATGTAAGGAGCGCTCTATGCTGGACATGAGAGGCTGAAGCCAATATTTCTATAAGAAATGGAGTCACAAGAAACTCAAACTGGCAATGGAGTACTACTCAGCTATAAAGAAAGATAAACTCGAGGCTTTTATAGATAAATGGATGTAACTAGAGACCATCCTCATAAGTGAAATAAACCAGACTCACATGTGTAAACATCATATTGTCTCCCTACTAAAAGAAACTAAAAGAGTAAATAAGGTCAGAAAGGTACAACAGATATAGCGAAAGGGAAAGAAACTGCTCAAAGGGAAAGAACAACTGGGATGGGGGAAAAAAGAAAAGAAGGAAGGGGAAAAACAGATCTGTAATATATAAGATGGCAAAGATAATGTACTGCTAATTTCTACTAGTTCACTGAAAGGAACAGTTAGTGCTTATGTTGTTTGATCAATTTTGCAATGCCTGTACCTGATAATCTGAGCAATTACTTTGACAATAACAATACGCAATATAATAGCCATGGTTAACTTTCTATCGACTTGTTTTGAAATTCTGTATCATTTTTATTGTTTTTTTTTCTCTCTTTAAAATAAAAAATAAAGAAAAATAAAAAAGAAATTCAAACTGGCATTCAGGGCTTGGAGAGTTATGACAATGTTCCAGAAGATTATATGACTGTATTTGAATTAATGTAGATTTTTCTACATAAACATATGTAGATTGCTGTACATGAAAATATAAGGCATCCCCTGAAAATAAGCCCTATAGTGTCTTTTGGAACAAAAATTAATATAACACTTGTTCTTATTTTGGGGAAAATATGACAGTTTCTATTCAAATAAGGTCTCCTTCTTGGGATAACTGCATGAGAATCATTTCCAGTTGTCCCATGGATTTAAATACACACCAAAGGATGTAGTGAGTCACTACAGTGGACAAAATCTATAACTGAATGTTAGACGGTGCTCTTCTGTATTTGTACCTTTACAGGAAAGTATGAACAGCTAGGATTTGAATATGGTTTGTGCCTGCCAAGACCCTGCTGTGGCTCAAGTCCTTGTGTAGCAGGGTGCAAGCCAGGGACTGGCTCACAACGGTGATTGCGTCCTGGAGGCTGACCCCTCCTAAACCAGGGCCTTTCTTGGGTGAGCCAGTTCTCCCACACCCCAGACATGGATGAGTTACTGTGAGAGCAGGTTCTTACAAACAGAGGCCAGTTCTGGGTTTGTCTGTTCCACACACACCCAATGGCTCTTTAAATTTCCACCTCGAGCTGAAGCAGCACAAAGCTCTCACCACCGGCTCGCTCTCGTTCCTCCCAGCCTCCTGAAATGACAGCCAAACTGAACCTTTCCTCTTAATAATTCACCCAGTCTGAAGTACTCTGCTATAGTCACAGGAAATGGACTAAGAAAATAAAAAGCGCACAAGTCTGAAGAAAAAGAAAATCTAGTGTGGCTTAAAATTTTTCTCCAATACTTTTCTGCACAGTATGGTACCCACTTGCCTAATGTTCCCACATCACAATGTCTCTCCAGCTAAACTGCATGATTACACGATGCTCTACATATAGCTAACTGTACATTTTAAAAAATCTTAACAGATACAAATCCTAACTCTCCTATTATATTGATCTGTGCTTCCTAAAGCAAAACTAGTCATCCCTAATTCCTACCTTACTAAGAATGAATCCTAAATTCACGGGACAAATAAACCATACACTAAGAAAGGATCTGCACGCCACCTGGGGCCCCTGAAGGCTGGCTCAGAGGTAAATGCAGTGCTGTAAAGTAATAATCTTTAACAGACGCAAAGGCTCCGAGCAACTCCTGAAGACAGCACTGTTCAGAGCTCACCAAGGAGAGAGGGGGTAAATGAACTCAACCAAAATGGTCTCAAGTGTAGCATTTTCAGATCACACTGAACAGAACCGTAAAAATTTAGTTCTTCAATTTAAATAAGATAAAATCACACATATCTCAAGACTCCTCTGAGTGTGTACTTAGTGAAGTTTCACGCAAGTAGATGGATCACATTCAGATGTCCAAGCCAAGGCTTGGCAAAGGCAAACTATCATTGATTTTAGATGACACCGAATAATTACAAAGAATACAAAGTGAAAATTTATGAACAGAAAATCAAAGAGTTGACAGTCAGCTTATAAATCATGTCAACACAGTACAGAAATGTGAAGCAGAGAGGCTAGGGCAAGCTGGCAGGGAGAGACTTCGTGGGTTAGCCCACCAGCAGACCCCATGGTGAGTGACACATTAGGGGTTTTAAGCTAACCTTCCCTACTTCACCCGAACTCCCAGTGTTTGGTTTTTCCAAAGCAACATAGAGAATTTACTGACTGTGTGGTATGAGAAACCCCCTCCCTCCCAGGGATATATATATATATATATATATATATATATATATATATATATATATATATACACACTCTGCCATTCTTAGACAAAGTCTTCTTTATTTTCAGTCTTTCTTTGGGTTCTTATGTCCCTTACAGGTCCCCCGTGTTCCCTTGAGAACACACTGAAAGTTACAGGGTTTTCCAGGACACAGTCTTCTCTTCCCTAAGCTTCTTTTCCTCAAGCTTCACACTCCACATTCCTTTTACCCTTCCCAAAGTGATATAATTCAGGGGTCCCTGACACAAACACACCCAGGCAGGACCCTTCTCTGCATTCTCTCCCGCACCTGGAACCTATGAAGCATGGGGCCTCAAAAAATGTATCCTAACACAGAAGGAAAGGACTGTGCATAGAGCAGAACTATCACCTTCCTTGCTGTCAAAAATATCTCAATGAATGTGGTGTAAGTGAAGTTGGCTTCTTTGGCGACCATGTCATACAACTAACTAACATCTGCTGCTGACTACTTAGGCTTCTTCTAATATATTGGGGTGTTGAGCCCAAGTGTAGGACTTAAAACTATTAGCAATAAATGCCATCCTTAGCAGCTTACAACTTATTACAGCTGCTCTTAGTTCTAGCAAATAGGTTGTTCCTGGAAAATTTTCTCTTGCTCTTCCATTTCTTTATTTAAGAGAAAGCTACTGAACACCTGGTATTGAAGAGAATCAGTCCTGAATGAGAAGCAACTTAAAAACATAGACACATCCACAATTAACAGTAGCACAGATATAAAATACCATGTGATATAATATCCACAGGGGTGTTAACATTTTATTCTCTTCACTGCTGAGTCACTGTTTCCTACAGCAGTGTCTCTCATATGACAGAACCTTGTATAACAGTTTATTCAATGATAAAGAATCACAGGACATTCTAGAAGGTTTCAGTCAAGGGAGGAATTATACTTAGTTGAGGTGAAAGACAGCTTTTTAGCTCTGTCTTGAAAGATTTCTACAGATTACGAAAGGGTTTGCTTTCATTTTTGTTTTTGTTTTTTTTCTTCTTTGGGAGGGAGTCTAGCTACACTGCCCAAGCTGTCCTTGAACTACTGGACTCAAGCGATCCTTGCATCTTAGCCTCCTAAAAGCTGCACCCATGGATGCATGCCACCATGCCTGGTTACAAGACAGAATTTTAAGCAAAAGAAGGAACACCAGACACCTGGCACTCCTGTTATTTAATGGTCGGGAACAGGGTGCCTCACGCACAGCAGAGAAGACGAAGGGATGCTTCCTGCAGGCAGCATGGGGCGGGCTCTGCCTGCAAGGTGGGTCTGGGGCCACCACTGAGAGTAGCCATGAGGGACACAAAGGGTCCGTCTTTGTGGAAAGCAATGACAGGGATATAGGAAACCATTTCCTATAGCTCTTGAAGAACAAGTGGCAGGAAGGAGGTGGTCAAACCTGAGCACGGAAGCTGGCAGGGGACATGCAGTGCAGAGAACACTCCAAAGCCACAGTGGAGTCAGCAGCCGCCCAGTGGCTGTGAGGACAGTGCGCGAGTGGCTTG